CGGCCGGGAAGAGCGAGAGATCTCCTCTTTCTCCCACGCGCCCGCCGCCCTCCCCCATCCTGCTTACAAGAAGGGTGACAGGATCATTTCTCCGGCTTTGAACGCACGAAGAAGGAGCGGCAGGATCGTGCCCGTCGGCCGAGCTGCGCGCCCGGCGACCGTGAGAAAAAGCCCGGCCGCGCTAGAAAGGGCGCCTCGGCTCCGAGCGGGAGAAAGTCCCCGGGGCGACTCGGAATTCCCCTCGCGCGGAGGTCGCCGCGCGCAGCCTGAAGCGCCTTCCCTGGGGCTCCGGAAACAGCCTTGCAACAGCTGAGCGGGGGCTTCGCCTTCCTCCTCCTCCTCCTCCTCCTCCTCTGGGGCGCCGGGCTTCCGCTCCGCGGCCACCAGCTGCCTTCCTTCCAGAGCAGCCCGGGCCAGGGAGAGGGTTGAGGCCTATAGGCGAGTGGCAGCAGGGCGTTATTAGTAGGAGAGGATATAGGGTGTGCCCCTCTGTCCCCAGCGTGGCAGGAGCCCGGGTGGCTGCACCCTCTTGGGCCTTTGTCGCCACTCCCCTCCCTGCTGCTGGCATGTCGCCCCCAACTTGCCACTCCGCTGGAGGGCTGCGGGAGGCTCCCGGCAACCCACCTCTTGCACACTGGCCCACGGGACTCAGGTGAACTTTTTTCTATGTAGACATACATGCAGCAGTGTAGTGGTAAATGTGGAAGCACAGGGCCTCGTTGTGACAGTCCCCATAGCCACCTCGCCCCATAAGGAGCCCACTGGATCCCTCCTCTTCAGGGAGTCTTGTCTTTTAGTAAAGCTCATGGCTCTAAATTGCCCATTCAAGATTAAGCCACCTTCAGATTCTTTGTGCTACAACAGGGCTAGCTTGCAGTAATATACTATTCTTGGAAAAATTAATTTCTCTCCCAACTGGCTCCAGCAAACCACTGTATGCTTAAGATTGTGCTGTCATTTGCCCAGCCAAGATTGCCTAGTTCATGCCTTGTGAACCTCTATAATAACCCTGGAGATTTGCAATGTGGTTGGAAATGTAGGAAACACATTGAATGGTGTGATTCTGGCTCAGACTTGTGCCGGATCAGAAAATGTGTTCCTGATTAATGGCAAAAATGAAACAAGGTTGTTCTGGGTTTTTCGGGCTCTTTGGCCATGTTGTGAAGGTTGTTCTTCCTGACGTTTTGCCAGTTTCTGTGGCCGGCATCTTCAGAGGACAGCAACCAGTACAGGTTGCTGTCCTCTGAAGATGCCAGCCACAGAGACTGGTGAAACGTCAGGAAGAACAACATTCACAACACGGCCAAAGAACCCGAAAAACCCAGAACAACCATTAGATCCCGGCCGTGAAAGTCTTCGCGAAAAAAGAAACATATTTCTAATTTAAAAAAAAAAATTCCTCAGGACAACAGTAAATTATTAATATAAATTGTAACCACTCATTTGTTCAACTTTTTAAAAAGTGATTTTAGGCTTAGTAATAGGATCTGGTAAAGTCTTCTACTGTATATAGTAAAATACTGTAAGACTTAACTTAGAATGTGAATTTAATTATGGCAAGGACACATGTTATTTAAATCCATTATGCAAAATAGAAAAGTCAATTAACTGTTTGCAAGGTGTGAAATCCTGTGGTGGTTTTGTGAAAGATAGCTGAGAGTGATTGCACTACTACAGAGTGGGCACTCAGTCTTTGCTGATTGCTTTTCCTTTAGCTGTTGTGCATCTTCCTGGGAGTTGGGGAAATCCCGCAGAGTAGTGTGGGAATACAGCCCAAGTGACTGTTTGTGTGCAGGGGTGGGTGGGTGTATGATATCTGGAAACTGGATGCCCTTCCTCCTTTCCATTATTACAAAACTGCCAATTGTGCATACAGATCAAAATATATAAATGCACATGCTTCTGGGAACAGGCAGGCTGAAAACTTGAAATGGGGCAAAGAGTAGTGATACAAATCATGAGCAAGTCTGGTTCGGAAAATTAATTCTCTCCCTCTCCCTCTCTCTCCCTCCCTCTCTGTCAAGGGCAAACATTGTAAATAGAAATAAAATACTGTTTAGAAAATACTGTATGGAAATAAATGCTCGCAGTCAGATCGCTAGATTTAAGGCACAAGTTGAAACATGGGCACAACTCCATGACTCTGCCTGGCATAGCACAGAGCTATGAAACGAAAAGAGAAAACCACAGAGATGAAACACACAGTTCTCCTTTAAAAACAGCAATGACTTATCTGCTGTATGTTTAGCAAAGGCTGCAATACCTATACTGTATGCACCTATTTAGGAATTCGGCGGGGGTGGTGGTTCTGATTTGGTATGTACAGAGCTTGCACCATAACTCTTATTTTTACTTCTTGTTTTTGGACCACCCTGAAACTAGCCTCACTTCTGGTATTCTCTACTTTCTCCCATTTCCATTTCCTTCAAAAGAGAATTTAAAATCCTCCTCCTGCTGCCTAGGAGGTAAGGCTAGCTCTAGGAAAAAAAGAACATCCTTGAAGAGGAATGTCTTTGGAGTCTACCCTGCTTCCCCGTGGTCAGCTTAAAGGGTTTTTTTAAAATAATAATAATTTTTGTTGTGTCTTAAGGGTTCTGCTGTTGTTGTTTTTTTGCTTCAAATGAGCGTTATCAAATTGAAACTTTAAAGGGAATAAACCTCGAAGCTGTTTTGCTGGATGTTTTTGTTCATAGTTAGGACTAAAACAACCTGTAGAATTTTAACAATAACAAAGGGGCTAAAAGCATTTGCTGTAATTTTTTTTTGCCCCAGCTCACTGCCAACAGTACAATGAACAGAGTTGCCAAGCTCAGCTTGGCACCCACTTCACCTTGGTGCCTAGGAATGGGAACAACTCGTTCGCCTGCCCTAAAGCAGACTGTCCTGGGAGCTGCAGCTCTATGTGCTGCCCTTTGTGGATGAAAAGGCTAAGGTGGTTGAGACCTTCTTTTCTAAAACACCCATGGCATTTTGCAGCTCTTTGCTACTCTTTTTTGCACCCTTTGGAATAAGCTGTTGGATTTCTGTCACTGAACCAAATTTGGAAATGTATCACTTTTCCTGGTAACCTGTTTAGAGTTGACTGTTCGTTTGTTTTTGTTTTTTACCTATGCAAAACTTAGTACACCATGTTCATGTTCACTGTGGCCATTTCTCTTTTAATGTGTCTTTTTAAGATTTGTAGTTTGCTTCTGTTGTTCCTGAATACAGTACTGGGTGAATACAGCATGGTGGAGAATGTGTTGTGTAAATTTGAACCTATTTGTATAGATTATTCTTGGGGTGCAATCATGTACGCACATACCAGGAAGTAAACTTTTCCTGGTGGACTCATAACTGAGAAGGCATGTAAAATATTGAGCTTTATATAACTAGCAGACAATAGCAATAGTAAAAAAATAGATGGTGAAAGTTTTTAGATCTGGAAAAATGTCAGCTGTCAAAGTTCTGTTTGTCACCACTGTAAAGACACAGGAAGCCTTTTCTGGGCAGGAGCAGTTGTAATCCCTTAGACCTCAATATGTTTCCAAGAGAGAAGCTGGCAGTCCTGTTTTTCTGTACCGGTCCCTACTCCTTCGCCATCCTGTTCTCAGGGTATTGCCTGTAGTCTTGGAATACGTCATAAGGCAGTTGAGGGGGTCCATGACACAAGCTGGGAAGAATTTCTTCTTCACTTTTCAGAAGTATTTTGATATTTCTCATGTTGATGACTGAAGTGGAATTTCACATTCTTTGACCCTAGTTGGTTTTGTCCGTTAAGTGGGATGGGTGACGTCAGCCATATTCCAGGAAGGGTTGGGTTTCATCAGTGCACAGAGCAAATGTGGCCCCAAAGTTCCAGTCCTGTGGACCTCTTCTTATATGGGCTAAGACCCAGCTCTGACCGTGGCACAGTTTTGGTAGGAACAGCTATTGATCAAGATGTATCATGCAGGAAAAACCCATAAAATAGATGCCATTGCTGATCCTAGCCACATAGTCAAAAATATATATGGGGACCTATTTCCACATGGCTTATAATTCCAGTGAACAAGATTGTTGTTGCGGTTGAAAACTTAAGAGTACAGTATCTTAACGTAGGGTAGCCATAGTCACTATAGCAAATCTGGCAATTAAGACCTCACGAGGATGTATCTGTAAAATATGCTACAATAACTTGTGGACTCTCTGCTGATAAACAATCGGAACTGATTAGAGTTTAAGTTTATAGATTCTACTTT